TTTTTTTTTTACAGTGTAAGATCTTGCCAATCATCAGCTTGTAATGTCTTTCAGTAGGTGAATTCAGTGCATTGATGCTCCTGTGTCATAAGGAATATTATATATGTTATAAATGTTGCATTTCTGCTTTTAACTGTCTCTCTCCAGACATATGCTATAACTTATCATACTGCCATAGAGTCGTAGCATTGTAATAGATTTTATACAAAACAACACTCATAGACCAGTGGCAGAACATAAGAGATGAAATGCTGCATACTTATGATATAATGTTGTTGTCTTTCAGTGTGGCAGTGGATTCTCAGTGCTTCAGGTAATCGTCATTGCTTAATATATTTTTTGCTGTTCACATACAGAACTACATTATATAGGCAACCATTTCCTCTTGTTTCAATGTTTTACACAACATCAAAACAGACTCTCGTACACTGTCTTAATCATTAACTTATTAATGCAATGTTTTGGTGCTAGACCTTCATTACAAGTTTTTTTTGTACCTGTTGAATGTGCTTGTCCCTCTCTGACACACCTGCCTCATGTAATAGATGTGCGAAGAGTTCTCTTTGGTTTAAATGTTTTACACTGTAAAATAAATATAAGAAAAACTGCTTTACACAAAGCATAGCTATGCAATGTTCCTCACATGCACAGTAATGTTTTCCTATATTAGGTGTATAGTCTTGATGTATATTCTGTATGTATGTTATGTTATAGATAACAGTATTCATATTTAAGAAAAGCATGCTATGATGACTGCCAACTGATAAACACATATCTTTATTGATATGTGAAGATTAGGATACACAAATGAGGATGACAACATGTAATGCAACAAAATCCAGGTGCCTAATGTAGCAAAATGTGAAGTTACATTTACATGCAATGCTGTTTTCGGCAGCACACTTGCAGACTGATTTATATATATATATATATACATATCCTCATTATTATATATATATGTAGATAAAGGCAGTGAGATATCTCACTGTAAGCTCAAGCAGCCCGACAGATTGTCTCTGTACTGACCAAAAATGCCTTCAAAGCTGAGGCTGCAAGTTCTCAACTTCATACCTTGTGTCGATTGAATTAGTTTTTTTAAGGTTAAGTTAACTGAACTCGGCCCGTTTTACACTTTCACATCTCATACACTGGCTTTAGATCAAATAATCATCTCAGCTAAATAAATGTAAAATGATGTACAGTGCACCTAACAATATTTCTGTATTTGAATTTCAGTGCCTGTTCACTTGGATGCTGCCTCCAGCGACTCTTCGCTGGTCGTGTCACCAGACCGACTGCAGGTCCGGGAGGCCACAGTGTCCTCCGCAACTCCTTCAAACAACAGCCAAGGCTTTGCTAAGTGGCCCTGTGTGATGGGGGATGTCAAAATCAGTGCAGGGAGGTACTACTGGGAGGTAGATGTGTCCCCTAATGGTAGCTGGAGAATAGGTGTGATGTCAGAGCTTTCTCCCAGGAGCCAAAAATACATGACACCAGAAGAAGGATACTGGGTCCTGTGGAAAAGCTCTAATTTGTGGGCCTGTACCAACAAGGCCACTAAGCTGGAGAGGGTGACTTTGCTCCAACACATTGGGGTGTATGTGGATGTCGAGGAGGGTCAGGTGTCTTTTTATGATGTCGAACGAAGGGTTCACATCTATACCTTCTCTGATACCTTCAGACACAGTCTCATCCCTCTGTTTTGCTGCCTGGATGGAAAAACAGTTCTTAAAATCAAACCACCAAAGATGTATAGGAAACACTGAATGAATGAATGAGCATCTTCTCCAAAATCATAACTTCCTTTAAGATTTTTGGGAGAAAAGGTATCCTATAAATTACATAAACAACGAGATCGGGGGGCTGCACGGTGGCTCGGTGGTAGCACTGTCGCCTCACAGCTCTGGTTTGCCTCCCTGCCTGGGCCTGATATCTTTCTGTTTAAAGTTTGCATGTTCTCCCTGTACATCCCACAGTCCAAAAACATGCTGAGGTTAATTGGGGATTCTAAATTGTCCATAGTTGTAAATATGAGTGTACTTGTTTGTCTCTCTGTGTAGCCCTGTGATAGACTGGCGACATGTCCAGGGTGTCCCCTGCCTTCACCCTGAGTCAGCTGGGATAGACTCCAGCCCCCCCGTGACCCTAGTGAGTATTAAGCAGTGTATAGATAATGGATGGCTAGACCTAGATCAGGCATGCTGGTTATGATTATTATATACAAGCATGGAGTACATTTTAAAAATTTGTAAGGTCTTCATCGTACTTTGTGACATGCTGTGAGATGACTGAATCTTTGTGAATTGAAATGAATATAATTGATACATAAATGTAACTGAAATGAGTTGAATTTAAACTGATAGCTAGTTTAAATGTAATGGATTCATTTAAAAGTCAGAACAATCATTGTGGCTTTCTTTCACAACTGTACTTGCCAATGTCTGCACTTGGTTACATTTAATCAAATTAAAGATAACCTATACTGACACAGTTCTTCACTGTCAAAAAAATCTGAAATTTTACAGATTTATTTTGTATCAGATAAATTTTTTAAGCATTTTTGAACTAAATAAAAATATAAAAAAAATTACAAAAATAGACAGTGAAATAACATGTCTCATGTATAATTTTATATACATAACATTATTTAAATATACAGATTAAAAATCTATTACTGTTATTATAATTGAGGTGACATGACATTTTTTCAAAGGGCAACACATACTGGGTTTTTGCCAATCACTGGGCTTTTCACTGATCAGGTGAGATAAATAGCAGCACTATAAATAGCAAATTAAATTCAGGTAGTGACAGCAGGATGTGGTGGCACAGCTTATTAGGTGGGGCATTAAATGTGCGTTTGAAATTAGTGCTACCAGAAACTGAATTAGAATGATTTATATCTGAATTTGTATTCTCAACTTAAAAGATGTATATAAATAAACTGAATTTGTATTTATTAAATTAAAACTGAGGCTTGGTGGTTAACACTGTCACCTCACAGCTAGAAGGTCCCCGGTTCGGACACCTGGGATCTTTCTTCAGTTTGCGTGTTCTCTCTGTGTAGCATGGGTTCTCTGCGGGTTCTTTGGCTTCCTCCCACAGTCCAAAAACATGTTAAGGTTAATTGGTGATAAATACAGTATGTAAACCAAACACAAAAGACAATGTGTGGAAGATGCTGTTACTGCATTACCGTGCCATGTTTCCTTTGTTTATGATGACACTAAAAGGTAGGCTGAAGCATGAAGATGATATGCCCTTAAAGAATCTGTTTGCTAAAAATCACAGGAACAGGCAATCACATTTTTAAGAGGTCATGAACAACATTTATTTCTCCCTTTAAGTGTCATTTCCCACTTTACTGCAGTCAAGGACGAATAGTCCAGTTTAGAAGGAAGCACTCTTACATTGTTCTCTCAGAGAATGACATCCAGATGATAAAAACAAGTCAAAGCAGTTGGCACCAAAAGTCTGAGATCACTATAACGGGTAACATCAGTTCAACAATAAGAGTGAACAGTAGAATCAGTTCATGTTAGAATCTCTCAGTATCTGCCTCATTTTGCTTCAATGGCAAACTGAGTGAACCCCAGCAGTTCGTTCACACCTGACCAGCCATGTTCTCTGAGCAGGATGGGACAATGGTCCAAAGAGCCTCACAATGCCTAAGATCCCTCCTATGCTGACTAGGATGTCACAATACAGAAATCAGTCTGTACCAATACCAATAAAAAAGTAAACTAGCTCAACAGAGTTGTTCTTAACATGAATTTTTTCATTTAAAAAGCTGCTGTGAACTTTCAAGTAAGACAAAGACATTATTGTTATTGACAACAAAACAATACTCATTCACAGAATGAAAAAACAGCAGTGTCCTCTTTGCTTCACGTTAAATCTCAAAGGAAGGACTAAAATACGGAGCATTTATCTGCTGTCATTTGAGTATCAGATCGATGCAGGCCTCCACTCAACACACCTTCACTTTTCATCTGAACCAGTGTCCATGAGCTCATCAGTGGTGCTGCTCCACATCACATCCATCCACATGTTTAGCTTGGTTCTGCTGCCTGCTCCACCAACACCACAGTGGGCGTGACGCACAGGCAGCATTTGGGTACTAACACCAGTTTCTGTGTTTGGGTTAGCGATGACGGCTCCGTTTCTGCAGCAGCGGCGATATTCGGAGATCAAGTTCGATATCCTGATTTCAGCACAGTGAAGGAATAGTCGGCTATTCTGCTATTCGGGTCCAGCCCTAGAATTTTCAAACTTCAACTTTGACTGAAATTTTCCCTGCAGGTTTTACAAGAAAACAGTTTCTCACCTGTGTGGGTTCTGTGATGTTTCTTTAAATCTGACTTATACTTCAAAGCTTTTCCACAGACCTCACATGTTAGAGATTTGTTGGCTTTGTCAGTATAACAGTGTCTCTGTTCTTGGAGGATTGTCTACATTGTTACTGTGATGGTTGTTTCCGTGTTGTCTTCTTTGGCTTCAGCTCTGCATATCTAGTGGATGCTGAGTCTACATCCTTGCTTCCTTCCTGGTCTGACCTCTCAGCTACAGAAGAGATGTGATAGAGGAGCTGGAGCTGGTCACTGTTTGGTTTTGGTTCATTGTGGACACTTTCCTCATAATCAGGAGTTACCATAAAGGTGTCACTCTCCTGCTTCAGTCCAA